GGTGAAATATCCACTTTGTAAGACAAATAATAATGTGATTGAATGTATGGAAGAAAATGAATTGAAAAATAAATAAATAATTAATTAATTAAATTAAAAAGAAAAGACACTACCAGACACAGAAATATGAGTGTCTAGTTAAAAATTTACTTATGCAGGAATCTGTTAATCACAAAAATTAAGGTATAAAAATAAACAGTAGTTTCAATGAAATAGGCCATAACCTTTTGAATTCTTGGACTATGTCTAAATCATATCTGTATCTTTCTCTACCAGTTTATCTATATATGCATGTTATACACACATATATAGATACATCAACATATTTTTATGTATGGGTATAAATATTATATATATATATATATATATATTTCATGTATGTATTAAATATAAATTGGGCCAGCTGGTGGCTGGATCCCACATGGCCGATTATGCAGTTCAAGTCCCAAACCCAATGACTTGGAAAACACACTGGACACATGTGCATGCATGCCCAAAATCCCAAAAGGAGGGGGATGAAAAAGAATCGATTGCAGCATGACCATTCCCCATACGAGAGGCTTTCTCACTTTCTTTTTCTCTGGTGAGTACATGTACCCTCTGGCCAAAATAAGATTTAAACATCATAAAAATCATGTATACATGTATAAAAATGTATAACCATATACTTACACACATAGAAATAAGCTTATTTAAACAAAAGAGACAAAATTGAACACACTTCTATAGTAATAAAAATAACTGTGCCTCACTGTTTTAATAACTGTTTATAGTTTTCGCTGTATGTGCTTCTGTCATTTTTATGGATAATTCTCTTTTATTGAGAGTTAAGCTGTTTTTAATTTTCTTGCCATTATTAACAAGACTATGAACAATATGGTGATATTTGAAAATCTCTGATAAAAGAAAACACTAAGATATGCTAGGACAAGAGTAAAACATTTTTTAAAAACACCTTATTTTTACGTGTGTTACTGATTTGCAATAATATAATGTCCTTACATGGATGGAGAAGGCATACAGATGTGAATGGTGACTACTTTGACCGTAGACTGAGTTCTTGAAAGCCCAGAACAAGACAAACTTATTCTTATAGGGTCTATGCTAGTCATTATTAGTTGCTTACAGAAATTTCTGAAACTGGGTGAGTTTATAGACAGAGGTTTACTGAGCTCATAATTTGGAGGTCCAAGGTCAGGAGAGTCAGTTTCTGGGGAGTTTCAGCATGGCTAAGGGCAGGACCGTGAGCTGAGCAGCTGTCCGTGAGTTTCTCTTGTTCTCATCTGTATCCATGTGGCTTCCACCTACTTCATTTCCTCCTTATAAACATTCCAGAGCTCAATCATGGGTGCCCTGCCCTAATGACTTTATTACATTTAAGGCCCCAACCTAGGATACCATGAAGGGATCAGGTTTTCACTTCATACCTTTATAATACAATCAAGTTCCAACACACAGACTCTCAGAGGACATTAATATTGCTCACTAAGACAGAATTCTGAAACATGAACCTGTGGGGAAGAAATCTTTTTCTGAATCATAATGGGGGCAAATAATAGATATTTTAGGCTTTATGAAACAAGAAGAAATCTGAAGATATTATACAGATACTTACATAACCATTTAAAATATCACCACTTAAGAATGTGAAAACCATTCATAGCTCATAGGCCATAAAAAATAGGCAGCTGGCGACCAGCTGATGGTGAAATGGTTACATTGCTAAGTCCCATGTAGTCAATTTTGGGTTGAGTTTTGGACCCAGTTTCTTGAAACTCACACTGGGCACCTGCATGCATGCCCAAAATCCCAACAGGAGAATGGAGGAGAAGAGATTGCTGCATGGCCATTCCCCCAGGAGAGAGGGGGTGGTTTCTTGCTTTATATCTCTTTGTCTCTGTTGAGGAAGCCTAATCACTCTGAAGAGGTCCCAAGTCCAGGGGCCCGCCTCCTCCCACTGGGGAACTCTTGCTGCTCTGCCCTGCCCTGTGCATGGCAGTCTGGTTTATGCTGAACCCACAGGGAGCACAGCCCTTCCCTTGGGAGCCCAGGTCCCTGTAGGATACAGCTGATGCCCGTGGGGTCAGTAACTCTAAACCAGGCTTGACCTTGGTGTCCTCCCCTAGAAGCAGCTGCTAGACTGGAAAGCCTTCACCGAGGAGGAGGCCGAGATGCTGGTAAACCCATCCTTCTTCCGGATGGTGGGGAAACTCCAGAGCAAGGTGGAGAAGGACCTGGAACTCTTGGACGTGCGTTTATGGTGGGGACCCGCGTAGCTGGGGAGCCAGGGCAGGAAGGGCACCCTGGCACTAGGCTGTAAGGAGAGTGGGTGTCCAGGGGCCTCTAACTTGCATGTTTGTTCCTGGTGTGTCCACTCACACTTGCTGTCCGCAGCCCCTCTCAGAGCAGTCCCCTGCACTGACCTGTCCAGGCTCATCCCCCAGAGCCCTCCCAGCTGCTTGCTCGTTGCAGGAGGTGCCCTGCAGAACTCTGGGAAACCGTCTCGGGCCCTGAGTGCTCCTGAACCCTTGCTGGGCCCTGATGCGCTGCAGAAGAGCAGTCAGCCCCCCGGTTCCAAGGTTCTTAAAATCTCAAGCAGTAGCCAGCTTGCATGTACTATGGAAGGCTAGGGAGTGAATATTTTAGGCTCCATGAGCCATCCCGTCTCTGTCACAACTTGTCAACTCTACCAGTGTCACAGCATAGCAGCCCTTGGCAATGCAGACATGCAGCGTGACTGTGTTCCACTTCATGGATGGACACCGACATTTGATTTTCATATGGCCTTACTGTTATTAAATATCTTCTTTTAATTTTTTTCAACTGCTGGAAACTAGAAAATTAGCACTTAGTTCACAGGGCCAAATAAAAACAAGCAGAAAGCCAAATTCAGCCCTCAGGCCACAGTCCCTGGCAGAGGGCACAGTTCACATATACGTTTAACGGGAGAGTGGGGGGGAGCCGTACAGGAGGTTTAGCAGCGGGTGAGGGTTTGCCCAGATGCCTAGTCAGGAACACTGAAGAAGGAAAGATGCTTGAGGTTGAGACTGTACAGCCCACCTGAAGGCCCAGGCTGGTTTCTGTGGTTGGCCTTCTGCTTCTAGGCCCAAGCTCCATTTTTGACCTGTCACTTACAGCAGTGGGACACAGGACAGTCTAGAGATGGGACCTCAGGGTGAGCCAGACTAAGGGTGTGGCCTCAAGTAGACCATAGGGGGAGGGCCAGGAGCCCAAGTGTGGCCCAGAAGTCACTGTGCCATGGCAGAGAAGGTCAGTCCTCAGATGTTGGGGGGCCCTGTGGTGAGCCTTCCTCCTGGCTGTGGGCTGCTCAGCCCTCAAGGCCCTACTCGGGGTTCTGCCATTGCAGAAATCTTTCGAGGCCCTGGCCAAGAAGACAGAGTGGCAGAGTGCAGACCTCTTCAACTACTTCCAGGAGGCTGTGCGGCTGTGGGAGGTGCACCAGAGCGTGCTGTCGGTGCAGGAGCTGGAACTGGAGAGGAGGATGGAGCAGCACCGGCAGAAGCACATCGTGGAGAACCAGGTGCAACCACCACTCTGGGCACCAAAGGGCACAGGGCGGGCCACGATGGCTGCCCTGAGGCCCAGCCCAAGAAACAATGACAGTGAAAGAGCTTTGACCCATATTTCACAGAATAAACCAAAATTAGTTTAAAACAGGTCCTAGCTCCAGATGTAAAACTTCACGTGGTAAAACTCTTCCAGGTGAGGATATTTTGAGGCTCACCTTGATCAAAGGACCAGACAGGAATAGCAGAAATCTTGAGCCAAGTCCCATCCATGCAATGGGTCCTTGGGACCCAATGTAAGTCAGTATGCACAAGAGGCAGACAGACAGACAGACAAACTGGAGGGTTAAAATAAGGATGATCAAAGAGTGATTTCATGAATCACAGTTTATTGTCACACAAAATAATTTTTTTCTTAGGTTCACAGTGCTTAAAGAGGGGGAAAATAGTCAGCCGGTGGTATGGTGATTGAGGCAGCTGGATTCCACATGACCGACTTCACGGTTCAAGTCCCAGACCTAGCAGCTTGGGAAACATGCCAGGCACATGTGCGTGTGTGCCAAAAAAATTCCAAGAGGAGAATGGAGGAGAAGGGATTGTGCTGTGGCCATTCCCTTTGAGGGGTGATTTCTCACTTTCCCCCTCTCTGTGTCTCTGTCTCTCTCTGGCAAGCGCACACATCCTTTGACAAACTATAAAAAAAGGAGTGGTGGGAGAGAATAATGTGAAGAACTCTCACAAGGAAATACACCCAATAGATGAGGTCCATTAACCACCCAGGGAGTAAGTTCCAAAGCCATTAGAGGCTAGTTGCTCAGGTAGGATGGAAGCAGGCCCCTGTGGGAAGTAAAGTCTGGTTAGAGATTGGGTGAACCTCTTTGTAAGTGGTTCCTTGGGAAAGATTGGCCTGACCCACACAGTGGAGGTCCTGGATGAATTCCCAGAAAGCTGGAGGGTGGGGTGGTGTTGGTGGGCAAGGCTTCAAAGGCCTGTTGCAGCACGAGGTCTTGGTCCTTAGAGAAGTGGCTGACAGTGGAACCCACCACGGCCCAAGTTCTCAAATGTCTGCCAAGATCTTGAGATTGTACTTAATTGTGAGATCCAGGAGTTGAGGTCAGTAATTCACATAGGGGATCTGATAAGGTGTGAAGTAACAATCCCATGGGGAGGGTAAGGTCACTGTCACAATCCCAAGGGGAGAGGAGAATAGCTCCTTATTCACATGAGGAGTCTGATAGGACATCTCATTCTCAGTGGCAGCATAAGTGAGTACATTCATGTAGCAGACTGAGTGTTTGGGGTCACTTCAAAGCTACATAGCAGGGGGACTCAAGCATCTACATCTGCAGCCACCCTGCCCCGCAAGGGAGCAGCTGGCCCTTGCACAGTCTAGGGTGGGGGCCTCCACAACTAATTTTCATTATGACTGATGAGAAGGAGAGTGAGGAGCAGATATGCAGGAAGGTGCAGTGCAGGCCTGACTAGGTGGGCTGGGTATGCAGGCATGTCCCTGGGGAGTCCCAGCTGAGCTGGGTCCACTGGCATAAAGTGGCTTAGAAGACATTCTGGGCACAGAGAAGTGCCCCAAAGCCTGCAACAAAGACCCTGAGAGCAGTGGCAGATTTGGTGTCTCTTTTGTAGAAACAGAAGTCCCAGGCCTGCGCCAGACAGCTGGGCCTCAGTTCCAGTGGCAGGGTCTCTGCATGACACTTATACCATGCACGCTTGGGAAGCTCCTGTTTGTTTCCTCTTGTTCTGTGGGGGGCTGCCAGATGCAGGAGGCCTGCTTTGATAAACTCCTGGATCAGCTGAGACAACAAAGCCACGGAGAAACACTGAAATTTCACCTGGAAAAGGCCAAAGATTTTCTGAGGAACATGAAATCCAGGTAGGCCAACCAAACCCCAAAACACAGGAGGGGGTGGTCGAGAATTATATCTAGAGTCGTAAGCAGCCTGCATAGACATCTTGAGGCACGCTTACCGTGAAAATTGTGCTTTGACTTCAGAGAATGGTGTGATCCTTTGCAACTCTGTTTTCAGCAAGCACAGAGGCTTCCAGGGAGAATTTTGATAAGTTTGTGGAGTGAAATTTCAAGGCCACAGGATGTATTGGGTCATCAGAAAAGTCATGACACATTTTTGCATAGGAAAAAAAAAAAAAAAAACAGAAAAATACTTCTTAACTTTTCCGATGAGTCAATATTTAAAGCCGAAGGACCTGAGTCTTCCTATTAAAAATTTAAACATTCATGCCCTTTGTTAAAGAGGGGGCCAGTAGGTGGCATGGTGGTCAAGGCGCTGGACTCCTACATGGTTGACCATGGGTCAAGTCCCAGACACGGCAGCTTGCTTTCTCAATTTCTCTCTCTCTCTCTGTGGTGCCCTATAGCAAATTAAATAATAATAAATAAAATTAAAATTCTTTTAAAAAATAGAGATATTTCTGCTCATTTCTACCCAACTATTCCTTTTTATAGACATAAACATTTATACGTGTGGAAATGTACACATATAGAGCTTTTTACATAAAAGCTGGGTTACTCTGTAAAATTGTTGTACGATTGCTGATCTGTATTTGAGTTTTCAATGATCATATAGGATTCACTAATATGAATGCATACATCCTAATGATTTAACCATCTTCTGATTGGTTCATTTCTCAATATTCACAGACGTTTCTCTGAACTTTGCTGTATCTTTCTACCTTTGTAGAACTAATTCTGTAAGGACTATTCACAGATATGGAGTTGCTCTGCCAACTGGTTGTGGTACTAGGATTCAAAAGTATAACTTTATTATTTATTTATTTTTTTAGAGAGAGATTTTTGCTATAGGACATGTGTGCTCACTAGAAACAGAAAGACAGAAAGCAAGAAGTCACACCCTCCCCCCTTGGGTATGGCCACACCAACGTGCTTCTCCTCCATTCTCCTGGGATTTTGGGCATGCATGCATACCTGCCCAGCATGAGTTTCAGGCCTCTGGGTCCAGGACTCAAACTGTGGCCAGCCATGTGGGAGTCCAGCACCTTAACCATTACATAACCTGCTGGCCCCCCGAAATATAACTTTAGGCATAACTCTGAGCCTTGGTCTCCATATCTGGGAAACAGAGAAAAGTCACCATCGAGGTGTTTAAGGATTTGCTGGGATAATATAAGTCCAGTTCGAGGACAGGATTAAGACAGTGGGCAGGAAAAGGAAACCTACACCGTGAGCTGACTGTCTTAAGTGTGTTTCTCTTGTTCTCATCTGTATCCATGTGGCTTCCACCTACTTCATTTCCTCCTTATAAACATTCCAGAGCTCAATCATGGGTGCCCTGCCCTAATGACTTTATTACATTTAAGGCCCCAACCTAGGATACCATGAAGGGATCAGGTTTTCACTTCATACCTTTATAATACAATCAAGTTCCAACACACAGACTCTCAGAGGACATTAATATTGCTCACTAAGACAGAATTCTGAAACATGAACCTGTGGGGAAGAAATCTTTTTCTGAATCATAATGGGGGCAAATAATAGATATTTTAGGCTTTATGAAACAAGAAGAAATCTGAAGATATTATACAGATACTTACATAACCATTTAAAATATCACCACTTAAGAATGTGAAAACCATTCATAGCTCATAGGCCATAAAAAATAGGCAGCTGGCGACCAGCTGATGGTGAAATGGTTACATTGCTAAGTCCCATGTAGTCAATTTTGGGTTGAGTTTTGGACCCAGTTTCTTGAAACTCACACTGGGCACCTGCATGCATGCCCAAAATCCCAACAGGAGAATGGAGGAGAAGAGATTGCTGCATGGCCATTCCCCCAGGAGAGAGGGGGTGGTTTCTTGCTTTATATCTCTTTGTCTCTCTAGTGAGTGCACATGTCCTATAGAAAAAAAATCTCTATTTCAAAAAAAAAAAAAAAAAAAAGGCAGCTGGCACACTTTGGCCCATCAGCCATAGTTTGCTGACACCTGACCTAAAGACGTCTTAATAGCCAGGTCAAAATGGGAAGCAGGAGATTAGACTCGATAGATACTAGAAGGAAAGTTAGAGAGAACCTGTATCTGGCCTCATTTTTGATTAAAGGGTAGAGTAGGAAAAACGTCTATTGTTGGAGCTGCTTCTGTAACATGGTGGTTGAAGAAGCTGGATCCCACATGGCTGATCATGATTCAAATATTGACCCCCGTGGCTTAAAAACCACATTGGGTGAATGTGCATGCATGCCCCCAATCCCAATAGGATAGAGAAATGGAGGAAAGGGATTGCAGCATGACTATGGCCTATTAGGAAGTGCTTTTTCTCTCTCCTTCTCTTTTTGTCTCTCTGGCAAGTACACTCACCTTCTGGTAAACATTTTAAAAAACAAAACAAAATCTACTGTCCAAAGATGAATAAAAACAAATTCTCTTGTGTTCTCTGAGTAGGAAGTCTTGAGAACTCAGAACTCCAGATTTGTTTCAGTGTTTGAGTTGCAAATTTTTTTGTGTTTTTGGAAATTAAAGCCAGAAAATTAATCTAAAGTATTCTTACCTCCAAATACAAAAATATCTTAAATTTTTTTCAAAATAGTTAATATATCTAGAATTTCTTAATGATTACCCATATTCTCATCTTTATTGAATATATATATATATATTTTTGGATAGGTTTTCGCTATAGGGCACTTGCGCTTGCCAGACAGACAGAGAGAGACATAGAGACAGAAAGCGAGAAATCACCCTCCAGGGAGGATGGTCATGCCGCAATCCCTTCTCCTCCATTCTCCTCTTGGGATCTTGGGCACACACGCACATGCGCCCAGTGTGAGTTTTAAGCCACTGGGTCCGGGACGCGAACCGCTGTGGACTATGTGGGAGTCCAGCAACATAGCCATTACGCTAACTGCTGGTTCCCCTTTATTGAATAATTTTTGTTACTGATTCAAAAATGTCAATAAAATGTCAGTCAATTGATTATAATTTTAATTCCTTTATGATCTTGAGTCTAATTTTGGACACTCCTTTTTCCACTGATTAGTTTGTCTATTTCTGAACCAAAAAAGTACTTTTTTGGTTTTGTTTAGATTTTTTTTTTTTGCCATATGTATGTGCGCTTGTCAGAGAGAGACAGAAAAAGGGAAAATGAGGAATAACCCCTCAGAGGGATGGCTACAACCACAGTCCTTTCTCCTCTAGACTCCCTTCAGGATTTTAGGCATGCACATACATATGCCCAGTGTGAATTTTTCAAGCCGTTGTGTTTGGAACTTGAACCATGGACAACCATGTGGGAATCCAGAACTTTAACCACTGTACCACATGCTGGTCCCAAAATACTACTTTTTAATATAATATCATGATATATATATATATATATATACATATATATTATATTTACAATATATATGTTATATATTGTAAATATAATATGTAATAATAATTTAGCAATCATTAAATGTAATAATTTAT